CAGAGTTGATGACAACGGTAAGAGACATTCTAAGGTCATCATTCCAGGGCTCATAAGATAACTCTACAGTGCCATCAGGGATCTGGACTCCTCTGTCTTCCTTATCAACCACACTCATATACAGCTTTCATCTTCATGTCTGCCAGCTTCCTCATTCTCCTCCAGCTCTGTCCTCATTTCATGCAAGAAAAAGTAGAAGGGAGAAAGGCAAAAGGCAAAGATGAATCTGCTTCCTTTTCACCAGTTCCAATGCTGCAGCACCTTTTATTTACCTCTCATTGGGCAAAACTGTATCACATGATCACCCCTAGCTGCGGTGGATGCTGGAAAATGGACTTTTAGCCAGCCACACTGTTGTTTTTGTCCGTGAGCCCGCTCCGGAAACAAGGTTCAGGAACTCGGACTGGGAGGGTAAGGCATGGAATCACCAAGCAGACTCCTGGGAGGTTTCTGGAACGCTTCCTCTTTTAATAAGTTCAGCCAGCAATTTATAAAGTTTTGAAAGAGGGACTGGCAAAGGAGGAGTAATATATTTGGCTTAACAGGGTTGGTTATTGGAATGTCCTTGAACAGGCGATGGAGGCATCCAACTAGGGGGGATGGGCGAGGCCATAGCTGGACATAGACAAGGTTCAATACACAGGCTAGGCCTCTACTAGTGTGCTAGAAGGCATACAAGCAGTGCACTTGTCCCAGCCAGACTTGTACCTCACTTATACCACGCCCCTACCTGAAACACTGAGTTTCAAAAAAAGAGGGAAACAGATACTTGGTAGGCAATGTGTACTATGGTACTGCCATCAAAGGCAAAAAATACAAGACTGAAATTGTATGGTGTTTTTACTACTGTTCCTATTTAGATAAGAATAAATTGTAAAACGATGAAGGTGTAGGATCTACACACAAAGAGGGGAGCATCAGGTAGTAGCTGGATGATTTAATCAACCCCGATCATCTGCCTCTACAGATGGGCCATGCTTGGGCATAAATCACATACAGTAGTAAATTTAGTTCTTCTGATTTCCTTTTCACTGGGAGTTACAGCTCTGAAATTAATGCCACAGGAGGGACCATAGCTACTGGTACTGGGCTGCAGCACTGCCAATGTCAACTCATAAATGGAAGATTAACTCAAAGATACATGGTGGGGAAAGAAACATTTTCCCAAACTGAGCGGGCTGCCTCCTGTCACTTTAACTCAAGCAGAAAGAATTCTATGGCATCTTCATAAATCCCCAGATGCTCTTAAGCTTTCATCTTCAGAGAAGAGTTTGCCTCTCTAAATAAAACACAAACAGTTTAAATCTTTACTTTGCAAACCACCCTTCCTGAGAATCTTTATGCTATTAGACTGATTTAAGTAGGACACTCAGTGAGAATCTAGGTGATAGCTAGAGTGATGGATGATGTCCTCAAAAAGGGTCTCTGTGAGGGATTCTGCAAGGAAGATGTGCAATAAGTCCCTTTGAGAAAAGATGAGGAAAGACCTTTTCTTACACTGTGAGCAAGCCAATCTGTCCTCTTTTGTCCCACATTTAAAATCCAGGTCACCAAAATAATGGCTATTCTCAAATCTTGTCACTGATTAAATAAAATAAAGTTTCATCTTATATGGTCCATTCTTAGACATCACCCCCTTATGCTAGGGTTTTCAATTTCTAAACAGTTTGGGGTGAGGGAGCCAAGGTTTCCAGTGAACTATGCTCTGGAGGAGGTACAAGAGTAATAGTCAGAGATTATGATTAGCATTTCTTTATTACTCCCCATATTCCAACTATTTTGCAAACACAGAGCTAGTGTCAGGGTGGATAGGGTGGTTGGAGAGATGGAGCAATGCCCCAATTGTCTGCATAACTCGAGCCAAAACATACTAGAACCCTGGTCCTCTGACTATTCCCGGCAGAGGCATTGTGGCCTGAATTGCTCAGCCAGCAGCCAAACTATGTACTTCTTGTTTATTGTGTAGGCACAACCCAATTCAAGTTATCTTGACCATCCCTGCTGGAAAAGTGTGGGACTGTTATTATCTGCTCTGCTTTCCATGGAGAGACTTTGAGTCAAACACTTTAAAGGGTTGGTTGGGTCTAAGACTAAGCTGGGAACACTCTGTGGTGGTGGATTTCTTATCAGGAAAACTTCGAGAATCCAATCAAGAAATTAATCAGATTCAATCATTGTTTTCTCAGACATCTAAGCAAAAATGTTAAATAGCACCAAAAATATATTTCCCAATTCTCCTAAAATACAAGTTTTAGTAGTAGGAAAAACAGTTCATTATAGAGAAAAGCAAAGGGCTCTTTTTATTATTATTCATTAAGTTTATTAGTACATTCTAGACATGCAATAAGATGACATTCATCATTGGGAATTTGTGCCTTTACATGATATATCTTGGTTCTTACTTTTTCCCCATTCCCCTGCCCTCTCTTCCATCCCTCTACCTCCTCTACTTACAAAGACTGTTTCCATTTTTTTCCTTTTCTTGTATTCATTCCTCTCCCTTTCCCTATCCCTCCCACTTCCCCTTCCCCTTTGGGCCTTTTCTTTCTATTTCACATTACCTATTATACATTTTGATCCTTATTTATACTATCAGTTTCTCATTCCAGAGAAACTATTCGGTATTTACACGTGTGTCCTATTTACTTCACTTAAGTGTATGCCCTTAATGTGCATCCATTTAGCTATAAATGTTGCTAGCTTCTCATTCTTTACCCAGTTCTCATTGTTAACCCAATTAACGGTGCATCTCAGTTGCTACATTGAAGTTAGGGCATGCCTTGCAAAGATCTCTAAGTAATTAGGAAGCAAATACTGGGGCCATTCTGTAACTTAAACTTCTAAGTTATGAGCAATACACTCAGATCCAGCCGTCCTTCCTATCACCACTAGGGAGGTTTTAGGGTTGGGTATCCAGAGGTAACAGTGAGAGAACCATTGTATTCACTCATCTTCTCTTGGGAGTATGATAGAGAAGTCTTATTCGAGGAAAGACATAGCCTGCTTTCCTCTTTCTCTCTTTCTATGTATTCTGGATCAATCAAAGAATAATACATTTAGCTTCTGTTGCATAGAACAATGCCTCAGAATTCCGGGCAACTGCCACTACAAGGATGCACCAGCAGATAAAGCCATTGCAGAGAGTGGCTGGAAAGGTTAACAAAGATACTGCCCTGGCCGCATCTCTTGAGCAAAAAGGAAATGCAAGCAAAAACATAAAGAAAATCAGCCAGCTTTCTTATCTGCCACTGTGTATTTTAAAGAGGGAGCAAACATGCTTTTTGAGTTCTCTCCTTTGCCTCTCCAAATATTCACAAGATGGTCTGCATGCATTTCATTGTCAGGCCATTCCTGAACTTGGGTACTCAGAGTCCTTAATGTTTTGATAACAGATGTGATCCCTTTGGCTGGGTCAAAGGGACTGTTGGGGGGACAGAGAGTGCATGTGGAAATAGTGTGCTGGAATATAACTCCCAAACCCCCAAGCATGCCCAAGAATAACAAGCTCATTAACCACGGACCCAGATGCTGGGGAAATTCTATCTCCGCATCTCCTCCCACCAGTAAACATGAAAATCCCATCTCTGAAGGGCTGAAGGAAGCCTCCAACGACAGGTCCAGGAAGAATGAGAGGAGGGGAAGAAAAGCTAAGTTGGCAAAGAAGTCTAGCAACTTCCATACTCTTCAATTACTGAAAAACCTTTCCTCTGGTGACAAATAAGATGGAGATGTTTCACTAGCTGAGAAAAGCAATGAATCTGCACTTTTTAGAATAAACGCATTGAATTTCAGAACGTGTTTTTGTCAGTCTTCTTTGCTGTCTCTATCTGTCCATCCTCATCTCATATGTTCTCCAGCTGCTTCACTCTATACCAGCCTCCCTGGCCTTTCTGGCTTTCAGATAAGCAAAGTTAATTCCTATCATGCATACTAGGACTATGTTATTTGCTGTTCCCTTTACCAATATACACTCCCACACCATTATAGGGTGCTCTCTTCTCTTGCTCAGATCTTACCTCAGGTTCTACCTTCCCAGAGGGTCTTTTCCTGATCACCTAATATTTCTGTATCACCTTCTTTCTTCTGTTCTTAGCAGTCACTACTTGTCTCTAATCTGAGTTTGCTTGCTTGCTTATTTACTTACTTACTTAGTGTTTATTCCTCCCAGATACATGTATATTCCAAAAGAATAGGTTCTGTGTTATTTATTGATGTTTATTGTTATTTACTGCCTGTGTTATTTATTGCAGTTTCTCCTAACCCTAGCACGCACTTCTCATTTGTGGCTTGGATGGATGAATGGATAGATGAATTGCCAGAGGATGGATAGTGGGATAGAAGGACAGATGGATGGATGGATGGATGGTAGATGGACCTAATATATGTATGAATAGACATGGATAGATAGATAGACAGTGAGCTGGATGGGTAAATAAATACAGTTAGTGATTTTGCTGTCGTATTTTATCCAGTTTGATCAGATCTTTTGTTTCACATCCCATACCAAAGAAACCAGACTGGCCAAAAGGACTGTATCTAACCCAGGGTGGTGAATCAGTTGAAAGTTCGAAAAGGAAATTATAAACAGCTTCCAGCTTTAAATGAGCACCTATTCTTTCAAAATGGCTATTTTTCTTTTGATGTACATTGATGCTTCATCAATAGTCCATCATTCATTAACTCTCAGAAAAACCCTAGCTAGCAGACTGAGAGAGGTTTATTGATGAGTTAGCTTGGAGTGGGGTGCTGGGGATCAAACTCAGGCCCTTACACTTTCGAGTCAGGTGCCAGAACCAATGAGCTAAATCCCGGCCCAGTGATTTAGCTTTTTAAAGATAACAAGTTAATCATGTGGTAGCAGAATGATTTGGAAATACCGTGCTGGTTTAACTGCAGCCACTGGATTTGTTTTTCCCCCTGAATTTAATGCACTGTTAAGTGTGGCATTTTAAATCATATGCCTTTAGTTATTTGTTTGTTTGCTTATTTATTTGTTTTAGAATAACCTTAACCTAGAAGGCGACTCCGCATCAGAAACCAGCTTTCCTCTCTCCAAAGAAGTACCAGCAGAGCCTCTGGACCACCACGCAACACATCAACCCTTTCCCAGACAGCGATTCCCACCAGAAACTGGGCACCCCTCCGTGCAAAGAGATGGTCCCAGGTCCTTTCTCCTGGACTTGCCAAATTTTCCAGATCTTTCCAAAGCTGATATCAATGGGCAGAATCCAAATATTCAGGTAATTTTTGGCAACCAGAGGTGGAAGGAAATTAGAGTCGGTCTTTTGTTTCTTGATCCAATTCCAGTGGAAACAGCTCTCTTTCTTTACTTTCCTTCTTAACCCCTTGAGGACTCCTGCTTCTGATCATGTCATCGCCTTCAGAACAGTGCTGTCTCTCTCTTATACAGCACTCCTGAGTGTGGGGTGCACCGTTATTTTATGAGACACTCAAAAAATGAAAACACAACACATATGGCACAGCAAGGATTATAAAATATATCCTGATTTCAGAAAGAAAACAAATAGTACACCCTAAAATCCATGAAATGTGATAGCTGTGGGAGGTACCAGTCTGGCTTGTGAAGACACTAGGCAAATCACAGCAGGCTTTCAAAGCACTCAGAAAGGCACGTCCACTCAGTGCCTCTAGCTTGCCTTCAACCCCAGAATTTCTTCAGGAGAAGACCATCTTCAGTTGCCCTAAAGTGTGAGTGACCAACTTAAAAATAATAGATAGGAGGAAGGCAGGTAAAAATGGGCACTCCTAAGAGAGAGGTGAATATTTTCTGATAAAAGGAGATTGAGTGAGCAGGGGAAGGGTAAAACAATGAGAATCGAGATATATTACGTAAAGGTACAGATCTCTAATGATGAATGGCATTATATTGTATACCTAAAATGTATCCATAAAATTAAATATTTTTTACAGAAGATTCTGGGAAAAAATGAGACTGAAACAGAGAGAAATGGAGGTGAGGGAAAGTGTGTCTGGGACTGAAAATAAATAACACTCCTCTGTGCTGAAATAGGCGAGTTTGCTGCACAGAGTAAACACCGATCTGATTTGATTCTTCAGACACCCTCAGGAAGGAGACAAAGCACCTGTCATTTTCCCCAATATTTAACTCACCAGGCACGCTGGAAGCTACCCTTTGGTTCAGCTGAGGTCACGCGGCTAGTGAACAATCATTGTCAGGCTCCAATTCAGGCTTTCAGACTCCCAAGATACTCGGCCCCCAGTCCACGCTCCAGAAGCGGATCCCTAATTTGGAATGTTGCCTGCCCCTCCCTCTGTTTCTTCCCAAAGGTGATTGCCCTGATAGCTCAGGAAGGCTAAACCCCCTGTGCCATCTTGCCCCTACCTAACTCCTGTCCTCATAAACCTGCTTTCATACTTCTAAGTTTTGTTCCTGATTCTTTTCATTTGTAAAGACAGCTTTTGCTCCAAACACCAATAGCTTATTTGGCTGAAATTTCCTGAACTTGGTCTCAGAGCAGTCGATCCTTAATGAAGTTCATATTCTCTCTTTCTCTCCCTCTCTTCCTCTCTCCCTCTCTCCCTCTCTCCCCCTCTCTCCCTTCTCCCCGTCCCCCTTTTTCCAAGCTCTACATGAGATAGTTTTAGATTGGGCTGGATGACAGATATCACTGAGAAGACACCTTAATTAGAATACAACAATAGCCCCTACTATGTATAAAACAATGCATTAGGTTACAGGAAATTAAGAATTGCAAGACCTGTCTGTTCCCTCCAGGAAGTGACTTAGGTGTCACCATCCCAGTTACTACATAAGACAGTGCCATAGGGGTCCCAGAGACAGATAAAGAAAAAGCCCTCTGTTCAGAGATGGGAAGATGCCCATAGATGGGAAGAAGCAATGTAGGGCTCTGTGGGTGCTACAGAGTGAGAAATGTTCTGGAGGTCACAATGACTCATGCACAGAAATCATCACATCCCCCAATTACTATTTCTGATGTGTCATGTACTGTATTTGATTAGTTGGAAAATCAGTCCTTTTGTCAGTCTCCTCTCTAGGAGCTGGCCACAGGGTGCTCTGTTTAAGCAGTGGGTCCACGCTGGGGAGGTGCCAATTGACAAAAAGGCATGGGCATCTCCATATCTCTGCTCCACTTTGCTCCCTATCATGCCTTCCTCTTCAGGCAGCAACTTTTCACTGTTTCTAGATATTTTTGGTTCCAGGACCAGGTACCCCTCACTCCAAGAGTTCTAATCCATGCCCCCAAACAATCAAGTTTCCTGTGGCTATATTTTTTGCCCAGAGGCAGAGAATGTCACCGTGGAGCTTAATGATGCAGACTGAGATACTGAAGTAATAGATTTAAGAATTCCTTCTATAAAGTTTCAGGAAAACACTAGAATGCAGGCAACTGGAAGCATGCAGGCTCTTTCATGGTTGCACATTGAGAAGTTTCTGGGTGCCTGGTTCTAGCGAAGGGTCGAGTTTGGGACAAACCTCTCATATCCTTTTTCTTCCTCCTAGATGAATCCATCATTCCTGAGATGTCCATCCCTTCTCAGACCTCACTTGGCCCTTTTGAAAATTAAATATTAAAGTAGAGCAGAGGTGCCAAGGAAATTGGGAGTCACAGAACTAGAACTCCGTATAACTTCCCCCAGCAAAAGGGAGGGGACAACCAAGAAGTGCTGGCCCTCGGTAGCCCAGGGGACAGACCATGATGAGCTCAGTAGAGCAGCCAAGGTGACAGTTTATTTTTCATCATAATCAGCTGAACTATGGAATAGGACATGAGGAATGCTTCTGAACAGTTCTGCCCAGCTTGGAAGGGACAGGGAGCTGTTGGAGCTGCTGGGTGTGGAAAGAACCAGAGTGAAGCGGAGAGCAGAGGATAAACATAAATGAGTTATGAGAAGGCCACAGTTGGCCATGGATGTTCCAGCATAAGGTTCTCTCTGGCAAAGCCCCTTGGACTTGCATAAAATGCAGCTTCCCCGTGAGCTGTCACAGAGCAGTTATGAATGGAAACTGTGCCTTCATGTCCTCTGAGAGCCCAATCCACCTACCTATGTAGATTTAAAACACACTGAGATTTCACTGTGTTTTGTCCAGTGTCAACACAGGAGCAAGAAGCTTATACCTGGGTGGTGCTTCTGAAAGGGATTCTTTGGAGGACAGGTAGGAAGAGGGACAGAGCCAGCCCTAGGAGGCCTCATATTTTTCTGGACTTGCCTTTAGATACCAAAGATCACCATAACCCCCAAGAGTAAGGCACCCCATAGCTCAAAAAATCTGGGTTTTTAGTAGAAAGATTTTGAAGCTAATGAAGCTCTAGCATGGATATTGTTAAGCTCAAATGTGCCCAAAGTCTAGACTGATGCCTCCTACTTGTCCGGCTGAGTTATTCCTTTTCATTTAGACTATCCCTGCGTCTGTTAATCTTTTGAGGCCAGTACAGTGGGGTAGGTGTGGCCAAGCTTTCATTGATCTGATGATTTCTTGGCTCTAAATAAATTGAGTTGTGTTTCTGGCCTTCTGATTCTAGAAGTCCACAAAAGGTTAGCATTGGTTATTTCAAAAGATGTTCAAAGAAAGGAAGCAAGCAGCTGCTGTCCCTGGGAGCCCCAGCCTTATGTCTGCATGCGTGTGTGTGAGCACATAGTGCCAGTCACTGCAGGCTTATGACCCACTGCACTTGAGTAACTCCACTCCTCGGTGGTCCTTTAAGATGTGAGGTGCTTTCTACGAGGGGATGATGGCTTCCACGCTGGCAGCCCTCACCCCTTCCTTCGAGCACGCCTCTTTTGTTGAAATTCACTGGTTTGACACAGGACAGATTCAGTCAAGCAGACAGCCCTGCTGGTCACTGTGGGCCCTGTCAAAGCTTCTTCTCTCCCTGGGTAGTGGAGTGAAGACAGGTGGGGGGGGTGTCAGTGGGGGACTTCCGCTGCCAGGACCCCTGGCCTCATCTGCTTTTCCCTCTGGCAGCCTAGCCTCTTGCTCCTGGCTGGGCCTGAGTAGTTTAACAGGAATAGAGAACCCTCTCCCTGAACCCCACCACCTTTCAAGCTGTGGATGTGTTTCCAACACTCTGGGGCTGGTTTTTCCAACCCTCACATGAAAACAACCTGTGCCTCTCCAAAGTGACATTGCAGAGTTCCTGCAAAGATGGCATCCGACATCCCTTGAGCTTCTTGACTTTTAGGTTGGAAAATTCTTCTAAAAGCCCCAACATCTGCTTTTGGAGAGCATTTTAACTCCCACAAGTTAGGCAGCCTCAGCCCCAAGTGAATCAGACTCTCCATTTTAAGAATGGCCTCCAGCTGTGGAAGTGAATGGGACAAACACACACACACACACACACACACACACACACACTCTCACTCCTGAAGTGAATTTCATCTCCTTGTTAAATCTAAAACAATTCAAGAAGTTGGGTTTTGTTTTTTTTTAAAAAAAAAAAAATAACAATCACTCAGGAAAGCAGATAAATCCCCCAGGATAAATACGGCTTGAACTTTAGTATCCTTGGCTGAGTTTTGGTCTTCAGCTGATAGTCAAATAGCAAAGACAAAAATCTCTAAAATAAACTCATTATTAGATTTACTGCATCAATTCATTACAACAGTAGCTATTCACAACCAAATATTTCTTTTCTGGAACAAAGTGATGTTAGAATTTATTTCAACCAATGTACTTACTTCATTTTACCATTGAGAAAAAAAAACTTTTTTTGGTACCAGGGATCAAACTCAGGACCTTGTGCATGTGAAACAGGTGCGGTGCCACTGAGCTAATTCCCTGGCTAGAGGAGGATTTTCAAACAGCCACATAAAGACCTTTCCTCCTTTGCAGGAACTAATTGCAAGGCCCTAGGCCTCTTGATGTAATCAGAGGTGTTGGCCTAGGCTACAAATGTCATACCTGCTTCTACTCTTGACTCCCCCCTCCCTCTCCAGAATAATTTGAAATGGTGGATCTGGCAGAATAAGGGCCACGAAATGTCTGTGCCCAAGATACAGACCCACACACCCATAGGGACGCCCATACCTCATAGATTCTCATGGGAAGCTGCTCCCCGTAACATGAATGATGGTATCAGACTGGCCTAGGTTAGGGGTCTGGCACCACTTTTTAGTAAGCCGGATTTGGGCTCTGTATAGCCTCACACAGATTCTTCAACCTCATTGTGCCTTAGTTTTCTTATCTATAAAATTTCAATAATAGTGGTGCCCGTGAATATGCTATTTATACCTGTGCAGTATAAAGCTCCACTGAAGTCTGGTTGTCTGAGGGTTAGAAGAGAGCATCCATGTGAAGTGCATAGCACAGGGCCATGTATATGCTAAGCCTACCTTAACTGTTAGATACTGACTGGGAACAATAATTGGAGTGAGGATGACAGAGAAATATCTATAAAACTGGGAATCAGAAGACCTCATTTAGAGACCAGCTCTACATCTTCCTTGCAGTTTACCTTGAGAACTTGAATTCTTTAAGCCAATTTCTGTGCCTAAAAGTTGGGTCTACGTTGTGTAGAAAAGGCATAATATTTGGACGAGTACCTACTCATGGATCTCAAAAATGAAGCACCATTATCCAGAGATGCTGCAGTTGCTTTTAGAGCATCAGTGGGTTTGAGATGAGTAGATTACGTATCTTCTCGGGCTCTTGTGTTCTTTCTGCAGTACTAGTCAAAGAAAGGTAGGGAGACCATGAACCTATGCTCTAGACAGGTCCCTGGATTCCCTGTGAAGCCAAGGGAAGGTTTTTCTTTCTAGGAATATTGACCCACACCAAGCCAGGCTCTTCCCCTCACCTCCGCTCTCAATGCTTAAAGGGCCAGCAAAGCAGGAAGACTCTCCCAGATTTTGCATGGCACTTGTGGCTTCCATAGTCTTGGGAATATTGGTCTGTTATTACTTAGACTGAGAATGATCTTGGCTTCTCTACAGGAAGTGTTTTTCATTAGCCAGGTATTATGGCAGATATTTGTAATTCCAGCACTTAGAAGGCTGAGGCAGGAGGATCATCTTGAGTTTGAGGGCAGCATGGACTACACAGTGAGTTCAAAGCCAGCCTGAACTATATAGCAATACTCTGTCTCAAACAAACAAAAAAAAACAAAGGAAAAGAAAGCAATCTTCAGAGTAGAAATAGTTTGCTTCTAATATAAATTTTTTGGTTTGTCTTTTTTTGTGGTACTGGGGACTGAACTCAGGACTATGCCTTGAGCTATATATCCTCAGCTATTTTTATTTATTTTTCTTTTTTAATTTTGAGCCAGAGTCTTGCTAAGTTGCTAAGTTCAGACTGGGCTCAAACTTGAGATTCTTCTGCCTCAGCTGCTCAGAGTGCTTGCTTAATGTCAGCTTTACATATCAAAAGAAGGAAAGCTAATCAACATACGTGGATCTTACCCTCAATTTGCCACTTTAGGATAGAATTGTCCAGATTGACACTTATGTTAGATTCTTGTCCTTGGACATGGGGAGACTCTACCAGAAGTTGGATCTGGAGCTTTTGAAAGAGTTCTCTTTCTTTTACCATCTTGATTTGTGGTGTAGGAAAGCCCAGAAGAAACAAATATACTAAGATACTTCACTTGGGTGTATTAGGGTTAAGAAAGGGTGGAGCATCTAGTCAGTCAGTTTGGAAAACTGCCGTGCTCCGTCCACACCTCCAGCTCTCTCACATGGATGATTCTTCAAGACATCTTTGCAAAGCAATTTCTTGATGAAAAAAAAATCACGAAATAGAATGAAAGCAAAAGGAAATATAAAACTAATCCCTACCATTTGAGAAGTCATTGATCATGCTCATTAAGTCTTTTTATTTGGATGCCTATGAAATTTCAGGTTCAAGGTTAGATTTCTTCTTTTGATATCAGTATGAAGTTTCTACATTGTTAACTGTAGAAAAGGGTGGATCCTAAGATTTGTTTTTTGTTTTGTCTTATAATTCACTTGGTGCAATGGCTAGGAATTAAAGGGGAAAAAGAAACCTCTAAGCTGTTGAGATTTAGTCATTGATATAGTTTTTGGAGTAAATTCGTATTTTGCTCCTTGTTGTCCAGCCAGGCAAGAAATCTATTTTGTTTGGATCTGAGCAGCAATTTTGGGGGAAAAATCGTATTGACGGTAATAGCTTGAAATATGAAATGGTTTTTATTCCCAGGTTGGAGAAATTGCAGGGCAAGTTTTGTTTAAGCAATTCCTTTGACGCCAGTCTGAATACAACACTCTTGGGCACATTCCCCCTTATCTCCTACCCAGAGACTGATTTCATTACCATAATTGCAGAGTTGCCTGGCTCCTGGCAGCCTCTCCCTACCAAGACCCTTAATGGCCTTGCAGGGGATTGTTGTAGCACAGTCCGTCTGCAGGCTGAGAGGAGAGGGGCTGGCTGCAAAGGAGAAAGCTTGTGTCGTCAAAGGCTCAGTGATGCCAGTTCCTGCCCTCCTTGGTTCTGCACTACCCAGCCATGTGGTCCTTCTGCACTTGTCCTTTGAAGGCTGCATGTGGGTTCCCATACTCCCACTACTCTCCAACAACAGCAAAGATATCAGATATGAGATGTCTTTCTTGTTTTCCTTCCCTTTTTTTGTTTTTGTTTTTGTTTTTGTTTTCTGGAAATTACTTAAAAGCTCCATAATTATTTATAAATATGCAAGGGATGACCACAAGACTAGAGTAATGGTGGCATAGACCAAAGCTAATGGTGTCCTTCTTGGAACCCTACAATAGAGGAGAAAGCTGCACTTGGCCTTCTGTGTCTGAGCGTATTCTGCCACCAGAGGCTGCTATCTTGACCAGGTATTTGGGCCTTGAAAAACCACAGCCCAGGACCATCACTAGCTGGGGAACCTTCTATAAATGTCCAAGTGAACAGGACTCAGATCTCCCCATTCCACAAAAGGAAGAGGCTGTTTGTCTCAGGGATGGGCACACCCTAGTGTGATTTGGCAGAGCACCTCAGAAACTCTTCAGATGTTGGTTCAGGGCAAAACTGAGAATGCATCTGCCCAGTACATTTTGCACTGATTACTTGGAGCGCGTGTTTCTGATTCATCTACACATAACTCATCCAGGGGTGTTGCAAGAGCTATGTGATGGCCAAAGGAATCCAATGAGTCTTTTATTATATTTTTAAAACAAGTTTCTCTGTGTTGATTGTCTCTTGGAGCCAAGATGCTGCATTCTTCCAGCCCCATGACAGACTTCAAAAGTAGGCTTCATAAATCCAAAGAACAAGTTTTAACCTTAGCTCTGAGATGATCTGCTCTGACCTTGAGGCTGGGTCTACACTATGAGAGGAGTGCACATCCTAGATGGGAAAGCCTGCTCTTAAAGACTTTGTGCTCATATCTCTGCACACCCTGTAGCATCCGGCCCATCACCAGCACCCATGACCTCTTTGCTCCCTTTGTCTCTTGAAGAGACTGTAGTTCTACCACTTATTTTTTGGGAGGCAGTGTAGCAATGTTGATAAGAGCATGGGCTCTGGAGTCAGACTCTCCATGTTGGCCATGCACTAGCTGTGCTAACATCTGTGTGTGACAGTGTTCTTGTCTGTAAGAGGCTATCTGTGTCTACCTAGAAGCCACTCTAAACCTTAATAGCTTGAATCACTGACCACTGGATTATTCACAGTCCTGTGGGTCAAGAATTTGAGCAGAGGTCATCATGGAGAGCTTGGCTCAGTTACCTGTTGTTGGAGGTGACCAAACTAGGGCCAGATGATTCAAGATGGCCCAAGTCATAGGGCTTTGGAGCTGGAGGTATCTCATTTCGCCTCCATGTGGACTGTCTCTCTTTACATGGTCTCTATACATGTAGTGATCTAGGCTGGGCTTCCTTGCGTACCAGTAGGAACATTCTAAGAGAAAGAAAATGAACCTGTAAGACATCTTAAGACCAGTGAGTGTCACTCTATCCATTCAGCTGAACCAAGTTAATCACAAGGCCAGAGATTAAAAGGGAGTGTGTATTAATCAGTTTTACATTGCAATGACCAGATACCTCGGAAAAACAACTTAGAAGAGTTTACTCTGGCTCATGGTCCATGTCAAGGGGCATAGTCCATGGTCAGGTGCTCCATTGTTTTTATGCCTGTGGTAGGGCAGAAACATCACGGCAGAGAAAAGCTGCTCAACTCATGGCAGCCAGGCAGCAGAGATTTGGAAAGAATCGGGAAAAAGAAGGGGCCAGGGACAATATATAATCTTTAAAGTCACTTAGTGACTGACTTAAACTAATTAGGCCTCATCTCCTAAGAAGCCCTTTCAGCTATGAATTCATCAGTAGATTTACTCATTCAATTCATCTATCAGTGAGGCCAGTGCCCTCATGATCCAGTTACCTCTCTAAGCCCCACCTCTTGGGCATTGCTTCATTGAGGATCAAGCCTGGTGCATGAGACTTTGGAGAACATTTCATACTTAAACCTGAACAGAGAGAAAATAGACTCCACCTGTTGATGGGAGGTGAGACATACCTACAGGCATAGGAGGTTGTTATGAGGATTAAATAGTCTGTGTAGACAGAACATTCAGAACAGTGCCTGAAGCAGAGTTCACATAACGCCCAGTGAGTGTTTTATTGTAATTATCCCTGCATCACTTCAGGAATAGATACAGTATATGCCTGCTCCTTGAATAAAAGTCTTTTCAGCAGCATAGTTGCCAGTAAATCAGAAATCCAGGTAAAGCCCTATTTCCTCACAACCTGAGGCCATATTCCATCCAGTCATGGAATCCATACAGGCCATCTCTGGATGTTTTACCCTATCACCATGTAATCTCCGCTTTCTTTCATGAGCAATCCAGCCAGCACTTGCCTTGGCTCTCTCCGACTTTCTTCCAAGGGTCACACAGCCTGGAGGCTGTTGACTCTACATTGACCCTGGCCTGTTCTGAATTCTTCAGGTCACCATAGAGGTGGTCGACGGTCCAGACTCTGAAGCAGATAAAGATCAGCACCCGGAGAATAAGCCCAGCTGGTCAGTCCCATCCCCCGACTGGCAGGCCTGGTGGCAGAGGTCCCTGTCCTTGGTGAGGGCCAACAGCGGGGACCAGGACTACAAGTACGACAGTACCTCAGATGACAGCAACTTCCTCAACCCCCCCAGGGGGTGGGATCGTCAGGCCCCAGGCCACCAGACTTTTGAAACCAAAGAGCAGCCAGAATATGGTGAGTTTACCACTCAGTAATATAAAATTGATGGGGAGAATAAATAAGGCCTAAGAGACACGGAGCCAAGCAAAACCCAGTTTACAGTATGTGGCTTTTGGTCTTCTGTGAGGCAGACCTCATAGAGGCTGTGTTCCACAGAAGCCCCAGTGAGGCACCAACAGCCACATTTTTCTGGAAAGACTGTAATTTTAAAATCATAGGAATTATTCTTGGAGAGAGTTTTCTTTAGGGTCTTTGAGGTTCTTTCTGTCTTTTCTTCCCCATATTTTTAGTTTTATTTCTATAAATGAAATAATCAACTTAACTTCCTTGTATTTTTCACTGTAAAGCAGGGAAGGTTAATAAAGAGATGTGTACCGCTGCTGCTTCCTTTGACCAAGCAACTAGGTTATGTTTGATACTGCAGTGTAGTGGCCTTTGGAAATCCATGTAAACATTTGTGACATGGTTTGTCAAAGGAAGGCCTCTCCCAGTAAATGTTAAATCCCCTAGTTGACACATTAAGTTCCCCCTGTTCTTAAAGTAGGACAGATGTGGTAACAGACAACTTCCAAACTCAGTGACTTAAGACAATAAGAGTTCATTTCTCATTTGAGTTGAGGGAGGAGACAAGGTAGGGGGAACTCAGCTTCACTCAGTCATCTGGAATCTAGCTTTCTCCTTCCATCTTGGAGCTCCACCAACTGTTAGGGGCTGAGATATAGCCCCTGGATGCTCTGTATCTGGCTGGTAACTGAGGAATAAGGGAAGCCAGAGAGAGAACACACACACACTCTTAACCCCCTTAGTTTGAAGGTGATTTGTATCACATCTACTCAAATTATATTGCCATGACCCAGTCATGTGACCCCATACAGATGCAAGGATGCAGGGAAATAAATGTGTGTGATCAAGTGAAAGAGAAAACATTTTTGCAGGCATCTTGCCAGCCTTTGTGAGGAATTAGGCAGTATGTTGAAAGACTATTTGCTGTCTTACCAATGCACCTATCATCAAGCTTTCAAAAGGCTTTATCATCAACAGACTTAGGAGTGAACAGTGTATGATGAGGAAGACTTGTACCATTTGCACTCACTTTTACCTCTTTTTCTACAGAAAGTCAAGTTGTATTTCAGAGAGTTATTTCTTCCCATTAATATATGATTCTAGGCAACTTCCAATGCATCAAAACAGTTCTTTTTCAAGCCACATCATTTGGTTGATCAACCAACAGTTATTAAGAGCATGTCTTGGTCTAACATCATGCTAGGTGCTAGAAATCCCAAAACATGCCAGACATAGTCTTTTCCTAAAGAAGATCTTACCCATCTCATGAAAAAGGGAAAATATTAACTAATAGGGTAACATAGTGCCATGACAGAGATACATCAAATAGAAGGGGAGCATAAAAAAGTCTCCATACCCCTTCTGGCCAGTGACTCATGAATTCTTCACCTTTCCCACAGAAAATCGAATTTATCTCTTTCCAAGAGCAGGAACTGGGGATCATAGGTAGCATTTATAAGTGCTTGCGTTGCACCAGTCCCTCTTTTTGGCATTTCATATATGTTATCTCATTTTTCTGGCTCTCTGAGACATCGTTTATAGATGGGAAAAATAAAGGCTGCAGAAGTTAAGCAACTTGACTTGAAGAATCCAGACCTGCAACTCATCCAGGAAGTCTGCATCCAGAATCTTAACTACTATCCCATTCTACCTCTCTGGGGAGAAAGTAGCACAACCCTTAGGACACTAAAGTAGAACTAGATAAATCACATATGAATGCAAAACTGGGATCTCTGGGAGCAGTTATGAGACATCACTGTTTTCCAAATGGTGATCCGAGTGTACAGCCCAGGTAGAAGGCCACTGCTCCCCGCTGTTGAGTCAGAGGTGTATGAGTGAGACCTGGAAACTGTCTGTGCTTCCTTATTTATTTTTTCAAAGTCACAACGTGATTATTCTGCTTATTGAAGTTTTAAGACCATCATTAGAAATAACTTTTTCATCTAAAGCTTTTACAGAGTCTGCCTTGTTGATTTCATGAGAACTAGGAACATCCTCTCCTCGTCAACATTGAGAATAGAATTTGCTTCTACCAGGGCAGTTCCTGTTGCTGCATCGGTCCTCACTACATTTTTCTGGAAGACCCATGGTGTTCCCTGGGTCAAAATTTTACATCTTTGGGCCATGAGGAAGCATCCATCTCCTATGATTTTGGAAAATCTTTTAGTAACTTCTCCCTTATTAGATTAGATAGAATTGCTACTTTATGTATATGTTTTAAAAAAACTTGTTCCTTCTAGGACTCTTAAGTAGTACTTCTCACACCTTTTGCTATATTATCAGCAACCTGGAGTTTTCTTGGAATGCAACTTCTAAAGCAGAAGGCATAAGAAAGAAGCAGGAGCCAGGGAAGTGAGCACCATTGTTCCCCCTCTAAGCCACAGTTGCAGCAGTGAGACTCTAAACATATCATGGCCATTGAATAGCATGGGCAGCTTGAAGCGATGACTATTTTCAAAATAGCTCAAGGATTATGTGTTTTCCAGAATTCTGTACAGCACCTGAGAATTTTCTCTTTATTTCAATCAACAATGAAACTATTGAGCAATTTCTAAGTATTTACACCTGCATTGGGTGCTTGAGGTTGGGACAGGGAGAGAATACTCCACCACCCTGGAAGGTGAGGACCATGCAGTGCAGGTCACTGTGTCTCAGGGATTGCTGTCCTATCTCAGAGAGACCAAAGCTGCCATAAGAGCTGGTCTTTGCAGAGGAGGTAGACCTTTGAAGGTAGGATTTTAAACAGGAGTTTAAATGTTTGTGGGCAAAGAGTATTTCAAAAAAATCTGAGATAGAACGAATAGGATATAATGGCAAATGTAGGAGGTATTACAGACTATACACAAGAAGGTAGACCTAACTTTTGGTGATGGAAACATATACTGTGGGGATGTCACAAGTCAGTCAGACTGGGAGGGGTATGTAGATACCTCCTGCAGTTGTTTCAGGTGTCCAGGGCAAAGGGAGTACAAGTAAACATGAATCTTTCTAATGGTAATAGACTATTCTCAAAATTATCCATAATAGAATTAGGTGGGCACAGCTTATTAGCAGGGTCAGGGCTCAATTCACTGAAATTCTCCAAGTGGTCATAGTCCTATTTCAGAGGGAGATTTCAGAGTAATTTCTTTTCATGAGTTTTTCTTTGTAATGCTGAATTATGGCCACATCAGTCAGTGCCTTAAAGAAGGGAGGCCAAGCTGGGCCAAAATCAAAACTGTTAGAATAGAAATCAGGATAAAAAACAAGATATGGTTTTTAGATCTCAGACAGATCTCAGATCTAATCCCAGCTCTGTTGAGTTTGAACTGTGTGAACTTAGGCAAATGTGTTAATCTCCCTGAATCTTTGTTTGACTATTCATAAAAGGAAGAGGCTTCCACCTGCTTTTCAGGATTATTGTAGGTGTTGACTGGAGCTGCTGTCATCTAGGATTATGGCACAGGTTTACAGTGGTCAAGACAATACCCAAGTCACTTCCATTGCCTTGACACTATAACTGGCCCAGAGAACATTAAGTGCCCTGAAACTATAAAAGGACTATTTTCTAATTTCAAATGTATCCTTGAAACCCAGCTTTCTGGGTGGATCATCATCTTTCCTTCTTAAGCTCTTGGGTGTCACAGGTAGGAACTGTCAAAACACATATAAACTTTATCAGGAACTTTTTTTTCCTGTCATGTTATCTTTGTTGCTAAAACCCATTTTCTGCTGTAAGCAATACACTCTGATAGGTAAGAAAATAAGAACACCCTTCTTTTATTATAGCAGAAAGGACTTCTGCCGTCAGAAATTACCTCTCTGTACTTTGACCATGGGAAACATACAGAAAACCCCAAGACCTTGGCTGGAGTGCTACTGTAGTCCAGTATGTGATGGGAGCTTCTGGGTACGGAGCTGACATACATACTTTTTTCTAGGACATTGCTTTATTTCATTGCTAGATTCAGTAGAAATGATTAATCACATGGCTGTAATTTTAGTGCCTGATTTTAAGGAATCAATATTTTAAAAAACTAACGAGCTTTATAAACATTTAAAACAATGATGTAGAGAAGCCACTTCTGGGGATAATAAATTCTTGCTGGTTCCAGAGTCTAGACTTTGACAGCAGTCTAGACAGCACATTTTGGGGAGGATTTTTCAATATATTTGTAACAGGTCTTGTTGCTTAATAGCATTCCCTGCTCCAGTTTAGCAACTTTACAGAATGAAAGGTTCTCCTTCATGAGCCTGTGGGTAGCCAGGACTATAGAGTTGGGCTAGATTAGCTGGAAAGTCTCTAATGGTTCCTCACAATGATGGGTTCTCCTAGACTACAAGGGTCTGAGAGGGCCCAGGCCTTTCTCCACCTGCTCCCTTACCATCCTGGAGGTTAGCCTGGGCTCTTTATGTGGTATTAGAAGAGCTCCCTACAGATGGAGAGAGAAACTTCCTTTGCATGGTCCTGTAGCAAGCCTCTGCTTATGTCTGCTTATGTCCTATTTGCTATTACCCTATTGGCCAAAGCAAGTCACATGGCCCAGCCTCAAGTCAGCATGGGAGAGGAGTAACCAAGGCAGTGGACGTGGATAGAGGAATTATGGGAATCGTTTTTCATGTAATTTGACATGGTGTTCACATTTTGTCATTCGGATCCAAGAAATCTCATGCAGAGATGGTAGTATAAGCCTCATCATGAGTTTAAGGCTCGAGGTTTAGGTGTTATTTCTTTAAAGTAGGTCTCTACAGTAATAGAGAGGAAAAACTGCAGGAGACTTCAGAATAGTTGAAGACCTCTCTGCTTTTGTGAAGCTAAACAAGACATTGCTTGGCATCACTGGATTGTGTCTTATGCTGGAACCCATTTCACAGATGATGTAAATTCTACCTGTATGATTTTAAAAGCTTTTTTTCTACTTACTCATTTCCTCCTTTTTTGAGTATAAAAATATTATAATCTTACTTGTAACTTGTTATTCCCTTCAACAAAATCTGACCTTGCTGGTGTATGCAGGGTTGTGTGCACATGTGGGGTAACCCACTGCACCTGGATGTAGTCATGGAATGTGGTGGGGCAACTGCTCCTGGCACATCTCCAGTGTTTTTGGGGAGATCACCAAGAAGTGCCAGACCACAGTGGTGTGAGGGGCTCAGAGACTGATCCACCTCAGTGGCTTCTCCCTCTGCAAGCAGCTGTCTCTCCTGTCCTAAAGGAGGGTGCCTTGTAAGAGATGGTAGTGATGCAGGAGGCTAGCACCGGAGAATGAGGCCCAAATTCCCCAACATGGAATGGTAGTTTCAAACATCTGTTTGGTCTTGTGGTTGGGAAGCCATTTCTTAAAAAGCAAATCAAAGTTTGGGGAAAAAAATTTTGTCTGGCAAGAGAGAAAAATGAATGAGGTCTCTGGGGACAGATGAGGTGTAAAAAAAAAAGTCTCAACTCTGTTAGGGAAGAATGCACAACCATGAGGCATCCCCACAAGCACACACATACACTCTGATTCTGCTTAATGGGCCATTGCCTGAGGTTGGTGCAGAGTGAAAGCCATGTAAACAACTGCTGGGCAGGCTGGCATGGGCCCACAGTTCATGTAGAAACATGCGTGGATGACATTCTTGCTGGGCCTATGTAGTAACAATCACCACAACCTGTTATGAAACGGAGGGCATACCTTCCCTACAAGGCACATGCCTGTAGACCCACATGTGGCACCCAGAGAGGCCCCAAGGCTACTGGAATAGGTGAGCCAAGAAAAATGATTACAGAGCACAGGCACTACAGAAGGGGATATGCTTTGGAGACCAAGGTCTGAGTTGAGTTTTCCTTTCTGTTCACTTGATGACCTTGGACAAGTCCCCCAGCTGCTCCTGCACTTTACTTCTTTTACTTTCTTTAAGAGAAAATCAGTCTTGGTGAGGCATCAACTTCTTCCTAACCTCTCTCACTCCCAGGCCATCCTATCCTGGTCTACTTTTCCTTTATCCACACTTCCTTTGTCAATTTCTAATGAAATGCAAAAGTTACTAGTTTTTTTGGATATTGACTATTATCTCTCTCTTATTAAAATATTAGTTCCTCCAGGGCAAGGATCTTGCCAAGTTTACTTGATGATGTATTCCACATACCTACAATTGTACCTCACTTAGGAGGAGTGTTCAACTCATTGGATGAATGTTAAATGACCCAAGGCATGTTTTTGGCTTTACCATTAGTGTATCGATTACCTATTTCTGCCTAATAACCATCCCAAACTTGGTGACTTAAAACAAAAGCAGTTTAGTATTTTCATGATTTAGTGGCTCAGGAGTTTAGTTGGGCCATTGAGCAATTCTTTTATTTTTGATTACATCCACTGCATTCAGCTGTCTACTGGGAAGGACTGGAAGGATCAAAAACAGTTCTCTCACATGTTTGAAGTCTCTGCAGTCCTTTTGTGGATCTTCTCTTTCCAGATGTTTGTCCCAGTTGATAAGTTTAGCCTGAGCTTCTTTCGTAGTAACTGGATTCTCCATGGCAAAAACTCGAAACAGCCAAGCTTGCTGTCAAAGTGCACTCACTCGCTGTCTCTCTCTCTCTCCCTCCTTCCTTCTCTCTGTCCCTCTCCCCCCCACCTCTGTCTTCTTCTCAAGGAATAGATGGAAATGATGATCATCATCTTTGGAAATTGCCCAGCTTATTATCCTACGAACCATGCTTTCCAGAATGTGTGTATTCTCAATAATATTTCCTGGCACATTGCAGGCACTAAAGTGAAGTCTAGAGCTATAAGCCTTTTAGTCCTGGCTGGCATGTGCTCCCCTCCAACACAAGAACAGTGGAAGTGTACAGTGACATCCTGCTCTACAGGGGAGATGTGGAGATTTTTTGGATGAGGTTGATGATCATCTCCCTGGCTCCCTTCCAGATTCCACAGATGGAGAAGGTGACTGGAGTCTCTGGTCTGTCTGCAGCGTCACCTGTGGGAATGGTAACCAGAAACGGACCCGGTCTTGTGGCTACGCGTGCACTGCGACAGAATCTAGGACCTGTGACCGTCCAAACTGTCCAGGTAAGTTTACACTGGAGTGTGGATGCAAGTACAAGGAAAAGCTTTTAAATTTATATTTTAAAACTTACAGAAATAATCTTTTTAAAAGATGGTCATTCCCTATATGAATTCTGACCAGAGTGAGACAAGAGATCATTAATGAGTGTAATGGGGAAAAGGATGGATTATCTGAGTACTATGTACTGTCAAAGTAGCTGTGACCTAAAAGACAGAGCTACATTATACTTGGTTAATTTAAAGAAGGTTAGTTTGTGCCTTTGATGTGAGATTTTTTTTGACTCAAAAAGACATATGAAGACAGACCTGGTTTAACAAGGAAGCCAGGATGAGAAAGTCAATAGCCAGCTATAGAAAAAACCAGTTAACCTTGAGCAAACTGGGGCTACTTAGCATTTAATTATGACTTTAGACTGCATTGTCAGTGCTTTAAAAATTAAACTAATTGCACACTTGTTGAGGGCTCATACCAGCAGTGAACAGTACCTGTGGCTGACTCTAATGTTGGTTGTCAAACCAAGTCCAGCATATGATCTGTTTCTTTAGGCCCCATACATTTTTTAAGGGCTACAAAGAAAAAGAGGAGGAGAAGGAGGAGGAGGAACAAGTGGAAGTGGAGAAAAAAAGAGGGGAAGGAAGAGGAGGCAACAGCCAAGATGATTATAAAGGATCCACAGATCCCAACATTAGTACTCTCTGACTTGTTACACAAGAGCTTACCAACTCCTGGTCAAGAGTTTGACTATATCTTCCCACGGCCAGGTAGAGTACCAGCCTACAGTACTATCTTAAGCCTTCTCAGGAAACCACATATTCCAAACAGCTTCATCTGAGAGAAAGAAAATATGAACCCTGCTCCTTCTGGACACTTTCTTCTCAAACCAGAGATGTGTGGAATGAAACAGAAGTGGAAACACCGGGGGTTTGTAAGGAGAGAGAGGAAGGGTCCTTTGGAATGAGTGTGCATGTTAGCAAATGGGCACATGCGGAAAGTGGGGCTGAAATTTAAGTACTGGTAGTTCTGGCTCCATGACCGCCACACAGATTTCAAAACAGAGCAACCATGAGGTTACTTTTCCTGATCCTTCTCATGTCCATCATAGTGAGCTGAGTATGAAATATGCTGAGGGGAAAATATGAGGAGGAGGAAGGAGAGGACAACATGAACACGGGAAAAGGAGATACCGTGAAGAAAAAGACAAAGATAATGATCTCGGTGATGATGATGGCGATGATGAGGAGGAGGAGGAGGAGGACATGAACCAAAAGGAAATGAAGACTGGCTGCAGATGTGGCTCCATAGCAGAGCACTTGGCCAGCATGCCTGCAACCCTGGGTTTGATTTCCAGCCCAAGGAAAGGGAGGGAGGGAAAGCAAAAAGGAGGAATAGAGGACGGGAAAGACAACAATGAAGAAAGAGTTGAAGAAAAAGATAAGTTTTTAAGTACGTAAAGATCAAGCAACTTCCCATAGTTTTTATGTGCATTGTTTCATTCTAATCCTCACAGTAACCTCATGAAATAGGTATTTATTATTGTTCCCACTTGGCATCTTTGGAAAATGAGGTACTGGGCCAGCAGCAGGTGATCAACAATGAAGCTGAATCCAGAAAGAATCCATGTTCTTAGCCACTGAACTCTTTCTCCTCCCCCAGAAGGTAGATGGCTCAGACACGCAGAGACAAAAATGGCATTCAGTGCTGGAGTCTAGGGGCTTGTTTATGGTGTTCTCTTCCAGAGCTGACATTCAGACCCCAGGTGGTAGATTTAGATTTCTTTTCAAGGGAAGGCTCTTCTCTGTCCCCATTTTGAATGCTTTCTTCTTAATTTTTTGGCACTGCTAACAGCACTGTGGCCAACGACTCTGCTTATGCATTTGTCCCTGCTCTCCTGTCCTTTCTGCCTCTTTGCATGAGCTTTCCCGGCCTTACTGGGAATCAGACAGATTTCCTTTTGGAGGATCTCTTGCCTTATTTGGTTTGTTGATTCTCAGCTTTACAGGAAAGAATCACAGAGCAAATAGGATCTCCCCATCCTGGCAGTATAAAGTATGTTCCCTATGTCAACCCCACAAATATGTTGGAGGGGCCTCACATAAAATCAGAGAGTCCTTAAAGGAAATCAAGTCACACCCAGCAGACAAAGTTTCATGGTCCTCCACTCTTTCCTCGGCTTGCTTTACCTTGTGCAGAATTCCTGTCTGCAAAGAAAGCTAGCTGGGATAGGACTTTTGAGAGAATCCTGAAGGGAGGTGGGAAATTTAAAGCAAACTGGGCTCAGTTCCTTAGGGCAATCCCAACTTACTCTTTCTGAAGCACCAACAGCAGTGCTAAAACTCTTAGAATGTGAGATGCCTGGTTTTTCGCTAGGAACTGCTGCGTCCTCAAATGGTGTTAGCTAAACATTGAAGAGGAAAATGTCATCTAGCACTTACCACTCACCCTCTTGCTCTAGCTGATTTCTTCACACACAACTCATTTAATTTGTTCAGCTCCACAGAGAGACGGTGTCACTCAGTTCTCCCACTTTGGAGATAGGAAAACTGTGGCACACAAGAGAAAGCAGCTTGCCCTAGTGCACACTGTTCGTTCTGACTTGGACCCAGACAATCAGTCATTAAAGACAGGTATTGACCACTATGCTGACTGAGTCTGGTTTAGCCTGTCACCCTGATGCCATTAGACAGCCACTCTGAATTGTACTCCCCGCTAACCTCATCCACAGTCCAAGTGAAGGAGTTCCTTAAGTCTCATTTAGGCACATTTGGATCAGATTTCATGCTGCCCATGGTATCTGGGGTTTTAATATATTTTATGCACTACTACCTGCTTTTTACTATTTCCTCTGTTGGCAAGTTTCTGCCCATGAGAAGAAGTGAATACAAAAAAGGCTTTGTTCAGGTGTATTTGTTTATTTGGGAGGGGGTGACTTTTTCCATATAACCAGGGGAAAATGAGCTCTTGTCTATGTCTAGGCATTGAAGACACCTTCAGGACAGCGGCCACGGAAGTGAGTCTGCTTGCAGGAAGTGAGGAGTTTAATGCCACCAAGCTGTTTGAAGTCGGTAAGAATATTTTTTCTTTTTATTTTAATTCAAATATTGATTTAGCTCTTTGGAGATTCCTTTTGCCCTTGCAATGCCATCCCTGGATCCATATACATGTTTCATTTTCCTTCTCTGGGGTCTAGTTCTTCCAGCTTTTTTCTTGCTCAATGAACAGGCTCTCAGAAAGAGAGAGCAATCCTGTCCCTACTCCAGCAGACTAAGCCATAGAACCTCTGCAGCTCCTCAGCGGGAGGCAGGTGGGGTCCAGAATCTGCCCTAAGCACAGAATCGGGGATAGCACGAGCTCAGCACCCTGGAGCCTCTTCTCACTCAGCCACCACTGTGTGTCCCCAATAAAATCAGTTCTCCAGCAGAGGGAAGGAAGTAGAGAGAGGAAATTTCTCAATATTATACACCCCCCTCTACTGCAAGAATTTTTCATAAACTTCTGGTACATTCTGCTGTACTACATACTTGTCTGAGAAAATATTAGCACAGATATAAGAAACAAACCAAACAAAACTACGAGGAACTACTCTGGTGCAAGTTTGCTTTTTAAAAATCATTTTATGTGCTTCTGGATATAATTTTATGTTCCAGTTCTTTTTGCCACAAAAAATTCTCGCTTAACCTCTTCGCTTCTGCTGTGCTTTCTCAGACAAAAGTGGGCGGTCTGGGTCCCTTGTCAGTTCACAGCCCAGTTATTTGAGGTGTAATTTGTTGATCAAATGCTCATCTTGAAGGACTATAGGGCTGAGGCAAGGATCTAATGCAACAGTCTAGAAAAAAAGGAAAGACTAACAAATGATGGTGCCAGCACTAGTTGGACTAGGATGACTACAGCATCATGGGACATTAGAGAGTGGTGGGGACCGTGACAAAATTAAGAAGTCAGACTTTATCCAAGCCAGGAGCCATGGTATCCCCACTATGGGCCCAGGACTGCCAGATGTTCTGATTTTCTAAGAAAGGCCCCAAATCTGGGTTTTGCTAGAATATATCTCAATTTTTATAATGCTTGCTAATAATTTATTTTACAAAGAAATCCCATCAAACATGTCTACAAGCCAAACTGCAGGCAGTTTGGAAATTCTGTCACTAAGGCCTTCCCATCAGCCCAGTCCCTTCACAGATACACAGTCAACTTTCCTGTGACAACAGCCTTCTGTGAACGAGTATTTGATTTAAAACAAATGACTAGAAAGGTATGGATTTACATAAAGTGGAAGGTGGTCCATTTGGGGGCCAAGCACTTCCTAGGCTCCCCATATGGTGCCCACAGGCAGTTAGCCTCTTGCTTTATTACAAAGTGAGTCCAGATGCCTGAGCCACACCCAGCATGTGGCTAATGCCATAACAGCTAAGTAGATCTGGTGTGTCAGCCAGGGAAAGAACATGTAATTGGGGAGCATTTGGTGGAGGACTATTTGCAAAGGTATGAGCGGGATGGAGGGAAACCAAGTAGGAGTTGTACCAAGTTCCAAGGGGAGACTACGAGAGTGGGCAGCCCTTACCACCTCATGGCCAGAAGGGCCCAGGGAAGAAACAGTGACTAGAGCCCAGCAAGAAAGCACCTGACAGCAGTCCTGGCTCACAGAAGGATGCAGACAGTGTGCAAGAGAGGAGGGAGAGGAGCCAAAGAGACAGTCTGACCTCACACTCTTCCCTCTGTTGGCCCCTTGCTGGGTCTTCCCATTGGCTCAGCCCACACAGAGGTCAAGTTGATAGATCAACCTTCCAGGGCTGGGTGTGGCACAGAATGCAGACATAGAAGGGCAAACTGAAAATGAGTGAAGCAGAGAAAGAAAAAGGTGGATGTGCTCAAGGTCAATTTTCTTAACGCAGTACTACTTCAAGCTTTCTGATCTGTAAAAGAGCAAGTGGCAACAGTGCCCATCTCCCAGTGGTACTGCAGAATTCAGTGAGCTAATATTTGTAAAGCACTTGGCATATGACCAGTACACTAAAAAGCCCATATGAACTGGACAACAATTTAAAATAACTCAGTTAATGCCCTGTAGGTGCATGAATTAGAATGACCTCTCACTCTGGAAGGGAAATACAAAGCCATTTTCTGAGGCTGCATGAATTTTGTTCTTTTTTTTTTTTTTCTTGAGACAGGGTCTCACTATGTATTTGAGACTCACCTGGAACTCACTATGTAGCCCAGGCTGCTCTCGAATTCACAGTGAACCTCCTGCCTCAGCCTCTCAAGTGCTGGGACTACAGGCGTGCGCAACCATGCTCGGCTGCATGAATTTTGTTCTTGAAGACCTTTGCCCTCTCAAGGAGACCCTGTGGGCCTTGCAGACACTGTCTGAGAGGGAGCTGTCATCATGACTGCTTAGTCAGGAGGTCACAGCCATGGGATCATGGAACTCAGAGCTGAAAGGAGCCACTGCATGTTCCAGTTGGCCATAACCTAGACCTTGCCTGTGCACTCTCTTCATTCCCTGCCATCTCATCTTCACCCTAATTTTATGAGAGAAGTGGTATTTTTAGGACCAATTTAAAAATGAGAAAAACAGAGAGTACATGGAAGTAAAACGTGCTCTTTTGCAGAGCAACTAAACAGTTGAGTTGGGATTCAATCAATCCCGTGCAGTTTAGCACGAGATCCCAAACTCTTCATCCCAGGCCTTTTCAGGTTCATGAGTGATGCCTCCATATCTTGTCCTCATTTTATGGGTGAGGGCCCAAGCCTGCTCCAGGCTGCCCTTATCCTGACCACTTGATTCCCACTCTTAACACCACCACCCTCCTGGGATCTGACTCCGAGCCGGAATCACTTCTCAAGGCGTCCTCTCTTTCTCTCAACTGAAAAGCCACCAAGGCCTGACACCACTAACTCTCTGACCACCCTACCAGGTGTCTCACCTGGGTTCTTTTCACTAATACCAGCCCTAAATTCATTTCCTTCCAGCATAACTCAGGTCACTATCACTCACCAACCTTCAGTGGCTCTGTGGTGTCCTCTGAATAGGCCTAAACTGAAGTCCATGATCTGATACCAACTAGCTGACCTCCCTATATTTTCTGCTCCAATGAAAAGGAATATGTATTCAACCCCAGACAGCCATGGGATTCATGGTTCCGAGGGTAGACCCAAAAGGAGCTCCTGCTGGAGGCTGCAGGTCAGAGGCTTAGAGCAGATTCTCCTCTAGGAGGTCTGAGCAGGACCCCTGCCATGTCTCAAGACCAGCACTGTGCCACACACTCCTTCATATTTGAACACTGGCTTTTACCTTTGCCTTCATGTACCCCATGTTCTGCCACCCTTGGCATCATTAGTTGAATATGCTTCAACTTCCCCACTGCAGCCCACTGAGGTAGATGCTGTTGGTGACCCACCTATACCCCTTCCTCCTGTACCCCAGCCTGACCTCAACTGCAGCCCCTTTATTTTCCTGCCTGAGGGTGTCTCACACCCATTGCCCCATGACTGCAGGGCAGCTCCCAACGCTGATAATAGAGCTAATATTATATATTATATAATAGATAAGAGCTGGTGGATAAATATGCAGATCCCATATATAAAAACACATCCAAAAGCAGTAAAGAGAGATTTTAGGGTATTATCTCCCTATTTTTGCAATAAGGCCAACTCTGTGACCACAAGGTCTGCAAGTCTGCCCAGGGTCTGGCAGAGTTCCTTTATAGAGCAGCAGAGACAACTAGAAAGAGCCCAGGGTAGGGAAGTAGGATATAGGATGGTGAGATGGTCTCAATGTTTACTCAGGCCAGCTTGTTTCGGGGGATGGATGGCACTTAAAGAGAGTCCATGTGCTCTTTCAGGCTGAGAGAGGCCCAAAACCAGAGCCTTGAAGAAAGGAAAATCAAGATTTGGTTAAGTTACGTCTTGTTCTAATCAGCAGTGGGGACATGATGTGCAATTCAGCTAATCATTTATGAAGCAAAGAAAGGAATTTGGAGGGTCTGTGTCTCAAGTAAAGGGAGAGGCACAAGTGTGACTCTCATCCAGGTCTCATGGGTAAAGGGATTCTTTGCAGTGAGTTCTTATCCAGAACACAAAAAGGGGCCCATGACAGGGGCATTTTCATCTCCCTTGAATGTGAGACCATCTGGCTATTTTCCCCTCACCTGTCTGAGCCACTCTCCGTGCTGACTGCCCTCCCTTTCCTGCTCCTTGGCTGCTGGTCCTGGAATCACCTCCAGAGAAACCAGTCCCACTAGAATCTCTGCCTCAGGGCCAGAAGAATCCAAACTGGGACAATCACTAAATCAGAGATCTCAGTCTTCAAGGACTACATGACCCAGAAAAGCTGAGAGAAAAGATCAGGTAGGGGCTGGGCAGAGCTGGGGACTCCTGTGTTGTCCAGGGAGCGGGCACCATCTCCCTCCCTGTTGTTCCCTGAGGCCAGTGCAGAACCAGCTAGATACAACTGTGGTTTTTCTTCTTCTTTTAATTAATGTATTGGTACATTTAAGGTATACAATTAATGACATTCATCATTAGAAATTAGCACCTTTACATAAACCATCTTAGTTCTTGTTTTTTTCCCATTCCTCTGCCCTCCCTTCAACCCTTTCACCCCTCCCTACATACAGAGACTTTGTTTCCATTTTTTCTTTTTCTCATATTAATTCCATTCTCTTCTTTCATTTTTCAAATGAAGCAAGGAGTCCACAATTATGATTAGAGTCAGCTAATTCTTAAAGGTTTGCAAGTAATCAATATTTCTTTCAATACTGTAAGAACCAAACAATACCCTGGAGACACATTCTGACTGGGGCCTGTAGGTCACTTCCTTTGGCATCTTAAGCCCCTCTTTGAGCTACCTTGGCATATTAATTTGCATACAGCCATTATCATTTGCTTGAAGTTAAGAAGTTGGGAGTTTGGCTCTATTTTAAACTAGTCAGTGAAAGGCAGGAATGAAATCCTGGACTATCAGCGTCCCATGGAAGCTTTTTCCCTCACATCACCACTGACTTAAGAAGAAATTAAACACAGTTCTCTCCATTATTGTTAGTTTTCTTAGGGTTGATAATGAGGCTATAATTATCTAGGAAAATAGCCTATTTCTAGATTTGGGGGTTTTGTGGGGTTTTTTAAGGTGTCTACTAAAGAGTGTTAGCTCAGTGGTTCTGCCACCTACCTCACAAGCACACAGTCCCAAGTTGGATCCCCAGTATCAAAAACAAAAAAAGATGCTGATTAAAACTTAGAGGTAATAATATACATTTCTACATAACTTTTTAAGTGCTAGAGCAAATATGATAGTTAAATCTAGACGATGAAATGTGGGTGGTCTCTAGTATATTGTTTACTTTTCTGTGTGTTCACAATTTTGTCATAATACAAAATGGAGGATTGGGAAGATGTCTTATAAAAAAAAGAGGTTCCCAAGTTCAGGACTGATGAGATTGCCCCCTCCTCCATCTCCACCCCTCACCTTAGCCTGGTAGTTCGCTCTGCCTGCAGGGACTCCCTGACTAGGAAGGAAGTTGCTGGCTTTTCTGTCCTCTGGCCACCTGGTTTTTCATGTGGCGAGACATTTTCTCTCTGCGCTTTTCTAGATACAGACAGCTGTGAGCGATGGATGAGTTGCAAAAGCGAATTCCTAAAGAAGTACATGCACAAGGTGATCAACGACCTGCCCAGCTGCCCCTGCTCCTACCCCACCGAGGTGGCCTACAGCACAGCAGACATCTTTGACCACATCAAGCACAAGGACTTCCGCTGGAAGGACGCCAGCGGGCCCAAAGAAAAGCTGGAGATCTACAAACCCACAGCACGATACTGCATCCGGTCCATGCTGTCCCTGGAGAGCACCACGCTGGCTGCCCAGCACTGCTGTTATGGCGACAACATGCAGCTCATCACCCGGGGCAAAGGGGCGGGGACACCCAACCTCATCAGCACCGAGTTCTCTGCTGAGCTGCACTACAAGGTGGATGTGCTGCCCTGGATCATCTGCAAGGGCGACTGGAGCAGGTACAATGAGGCACGGCCGCCCAACAACGGGCAGAAGTGCACTGAGAGCCCCTCTGATGAGGACTACATCAAGCAGTTCCAGGAGGCCAGGGAGTACTGAAAGGATGTGAGGTGCACAGGCGCTATCTCTGGTTTTAGGGCACTGATCACCCAGGTCTTCCCATGTGTTTAAGTGTATATTTGTGTATACTACATGAGTTTTTATGAATTACACAAGGGGTGGGCACCAGGCCCGTGCACAACCACCATGGGAAGCCATCTTGATCATGCACAGACCTCCGTGTAGGCGGCCATGTGGGCAGGAGGCTGGGACACCACAGCAGACAGAAGAGGAACCTAGGAGCCTTGTGGGTGTGATCTGGTGTTTCCAGACATGGAAAGGAGGAAAGAGACTGAAGTTGTAAACATTATAAGTAGTTTTTATATATAACTTATTTAATACGAATGTGACTTAAGCTTAACCTTTTCTCTGGAGTTGTCATTGTAAAGCTATTTAATTGTTTCTGTGAGAATCAGACAGAGCGGGGCCTAGGGAAGTGGGAGAGAAAAGGAATTTTGCAATGGTTTCCTTACAAAGAAAATAGTGCAATGGAAGCATATCAAAATAAGAAAACACCCACCTTAAACCAAATGTTATGTAGTCGTACAGCACCTTGCTGGAGTCTCAGATTCCAAATTTCTCTTGCCTCAGACGGGGTATTTTTAGGGGAAAATCTGAGCCTAGGTTTAAAATAGGCTTTGAAATAAAAGATGAATGTTAGCATATCCTATGGTCTGCTAAAAGACCCCCCAGACAGTAGAATTTCTGCGCAAGTCTTAGTAGGTTCGGAAGATTGCAGGAAGTTCAGACAGAGAAAGAGCAGCACTTTTCCAGAGGAAAAAAGCAAAAGAAATGCAAAAAGAATATGATCTCATTTCATCTAACAATTTTTTTCCACTAGTCTACCCCCAGGAAATAAAGTATAAAAAAGGAAGGAGGGGAGCTGAAGTCTTGGAAATTCTAATTTTTTTATGTTTTAAGAAAGAAGAAAACTGCATTATTTTTATAAAGTATTTATTGAGTCACTGGGTGTTGTGCATCAGATGATCTGGTTCTATAGGGTGAAACTTAGGATAAATAGAATGGGTTCCTATGCAATATCCTACCTGCAAAACTCCAGGAAAAGAGAATATATAATAAAGTCATAATAAAATGTTTTACCTGCAGCCTTGATTTATGATACAAGTACCATAAATAGCCCTAGGTGGTAATGAAAGGCTCATTGATTGACAACACAGTGGTGGCTGGCGTTAAGTCAGCATCTTTGGCACCGATTATGTCTGTCCAGCCCCCAAGTGGCTGAAATCCATTGACACACATGTCTCTATTTGTCCACACAAAGCTAAGCAAACCAAACCAGAGCAAAGGCTGAAAACAGCTCAGATGAATAAAGCCACTTTCAAACAAAATTCTGCAGTTATAATTACAAGCAGAACTGCTTTATCATTCAAATTATTTCTTTTCTAGATAAGAAACCAAAGCTCAAAAAAAAAAATCACATTGGACCCATCTTTCATTTTCTAGCCTGATGTTCTTCCTACAAAAAGGGAAGTAGGGGCTGGGGATTTAGCTCAGTGGTTCCAGTGCCTGCCTTGTAAGCAGAAGGGCCCAAGTTCAATCCCCGGTATCAAAAAAAAAAAAAAAAAAAAGAAATTTTTGCTCTCTGTATATGCCTAACATCTTTGGTAATCTTGACCCAAACCTTAAGTTCTTTACATAAAACTCTTCTTATGAAAAAGCCCTTATCAGTCACAATGCATTGCCCTAAATATATTAGGATGTTTGTATTTAGGATCTTCATCTAATCATGGAATGAAGAGCCTTATTCAAATCTGAAGGAATGTTATGCAACTGAACTAACACAGAATCAATGGGTCCATGTATCAGGGAAGCAGATTTGGTTTCTGACAGTAGGAAGATAATTTTTTTCAAAGCAAATTGGCTAGCAATGGAATGCATTGGCTTTGATATGAGGAGTTCCCTCACAGGACATACACAGAAGCAGAAAATGTAGATGAGATGGATGGGAAGCTAGACTGCATACTAAGAGACGAAAACATTCCGCAGTGAGAGCCTCTGACAAATGTTCTAGTTAGAGTTGGAGGAACACCATTGAAAGGAAGTTCATAAGTGAGATAATGGTAAGTGACATAAAGACAGATTTTTGATCACACTCATGATGTTGAGATGATCACAGCGGCTTACCAAGAGTCTGATAAGTATGATCTTGGCCAAGTGATCCTCTTCTAAATGATGACCCAGGGTCCAGACTCCTTTTATCTGTCACTCTGCCATCATCAAGGTGTGACTCTCTAGGATGCCCTGGAGGTCATCTCTAGTACAGCCTGCTCCAAGGGTAAAGAGCAGGGAGAATAAATGCACAGTTTTAAGTCAGGCAGCAAAGACCTATACATCACTCCTCACTCTCTGTGGCTCTGCTATTTGTCACACCATTCCATAATGGTGACAAGCCACTTGGGAGTCCAGGAAGCAGAAATAGACTGCACAGCACTGCTAGTCTGTGCCCCAGAAGTGGGTCACAAGTACCTTGATCATACGTGGAAAGAAAGGAAGCAGAAGGGTCTCTGGGTGGATCCAAAGCAAGTGGTCAAAGGCAGAGATCCTTCTCACCTCTCCTGTGCTACATGCTATTTTATAGTGCTAAGCTGCAATACCTTTATTAGATTTTCATCAAATACCTAAACAAATACCTAAAAAAAGCAAACCAAAGGAGGAAAGGTTTATTCTGGCTCATGATTTCAGACATTTCATTCCATGGTCAGGAGACTCCATTGCTTTTAGATCTGTAGCAAGGCAGAAGCATCATGGTAGAAGGGCATGTTAGAGAAAATCTGCTCACCTCATGGCATCCAGGAAGCAGAGGAGGAAACAGCTAGAGCAGAAGGAGCTGGAGACAAGATACTCTTTAAAAGTGTGGACCCAGTAACTTAATTCCTCCAACTGGGCCCCACCTCCTAAAACTCCAGCTATAAACTCATCAATGGATCAATCAACTGATGAAGCCAGTGCCCTCAAGATCCAATCACCTCTGAATATTGCTGTCTTGTCCCATCAAGTCCACAGTACATGAATCTCTGGGGGACCCTTCAAATCAATAGCATAAACTCTATAAGTTTTAAAACACTTTAATTTTAGAATTAATTTCCTTGCGGACTATAGATAGATCAGTGCTAGTCCAAGGACCAGTTTCCTCAAGTCTCCCTAGTGACAGTGATCAAAACCTCAGGAGCATCAACTCTGTCTCGATATACACAGAGTTATGAAAAAGAGTTTGGGAGAAGAGGACAGGGCAAATTTCTTTCTTCGTAATCCATTTACAATTTCCAATGGAAAAATGTGCGAGTCATTACCATTATCACTGCACAATTTCAGACAAATTAAAGGCTTGCTTCAGTAATTACTACGTGGGCAAATGCAGAAACATATATCTGTGTGTACAGATCCTGCACACAGTAGTGCAAAGTAAGGCAGAAAGTTTACAGTCAGTTGCTTTTTTTTTTTTTTTTAACCATATGGGATTAGAAGACGGATATTTTCTAGGATCAGAAGGTAAGATTTACTGAAACAAATTTTTGGAACTAGCATCTCTTTGTTGAATTGTACCAAAAGAACAAACCTTAGATACAGATAATTTGTTTTTTAGATTTGCACTTAGAAATCTAGAAAGCCAAAATACAAAGACCAGTGCTTTGCCTGTAATGGCAAAAATAACATCATCCTTAGCCATTTTAGTGGTGGGGGACTTGGCAAGGGACTGGGTTGAGACACAGCTGCAATAGCAAAGCTAGGTAAGAATATTTATGACTTTGCTAATTTTCTATCTGTTCTGGGATTAATAAATGCACCCTTATAGATATTCATGATTGCCCTAAAAATGAAAAAAAAATTTAAATGGCACAGAAAAGTCTTTCATTCTTGAGGCATGTAGTTCATGGATGATTTTCAAAATGTCATGTTTGAATTGGGAAAGTAACATTTCTTGAATTAGCCAATTGCTTCAAGAATATGACTCAAAGGATATAAAAATTTCAACTCTTACTTTTTTAAAGGAAAGAAGAATTTTTTCTAGCAGTTAAGTTTATTTTTCACAAAAGTCATGCCTAAATCTTAGATTTGCCATGAGCGAGAACTGTGTAAATGAAATACACCTTTCATTCCTTAATGAAAGGGAATTTTAGCAAATTTTAATAAGCACTGCTTTAAATTTTTATATCACTAGACATGTACTTTCACTTTGTGTCGTGGTACCCTCCTGTTGCTCTCTACATTCAACTATTCTGGTGCTTTGCATTTTGGGGTTTCTTGGTTATTGTTTTTGTTTGTGTGGATTTTTTTCTTTTATCTTTGGAGCGCTTAGTAAATGGAGGAGAAAAGAAGGGAGTAGTAAAGAAAAAAGCCAAGGTCTCCCAGAATGGATTTCTCCTTGGGGAAGTGACTTATTACCTCTTCTATCATCAACACAAATAAAAGAACAGAGGGGAGGGAGGAGAGAGGGAGGGGAGACAGAGAGACAGAGAGACAGAGAGACAGAGACAGAGACAGAGAAACCCAAGAAGCCTTCACATCTTCCCCATAGGGTTATGGTAAAGACCTCCAAGAAGGGATTTTCAAAGGCCTGAAGTCTCAGAGCCACTTTGTGACGGATTTCTTCAATCCAAACAAAGCACTGAGTTCTGATCTGGTTGCCATGGAGGGCAGGACATTCTGTCAAGAATATTTCAGTGTCCTCATCTAGGACCCTGGAGATCAGAGACACCTGCACTGTGTCTCAGGAAAAAGCACACCACTGAGCCCCTCTTGAGCACTCTCTCCTGGGATTAAAGAAAGGGGAGGCAACGTGGCAGATAAAGGCTGCTTCACATCACTCTCCTGTAGCAAACCTAGAAAACTGGATGTTGACATAAAACTGGCAGGTCCACTTTCTGTTCCACTCCTGCCTGCTGTTTCTACACCACCCCATGCAATCACCTTCCCCACAACTCCTCCAGTTGCTGCACAACTGACCTTCCCATAATCAACTGGCCATTCTTTGGGCCAATTTTTTAAAATACTCTTTCAGTACTGTATTAAATAAACTTACATTCAGAAAAGTGTACACAGTGCGAGCTTAGTGAATTTTTACAGAGTGAACACACCCATGTAACTAATAGCCCTAAGCAAGGTTGAGAAATAGAACATAAGTCTATGAGTGAGCACTCTGGGATAGGCTGACAAAAATGGTCTAGATCTTGTGTAGCTGAATTATCAAAACTCACTGAACTATATTCTTTTTAAAAATGAATTTCTTATTATTTATTTTACCTCAACACAAGATAAATAAAAGGTACTTAGCGACGTTCTTGTTTTACCTTCTAGTGAGGACCTACTTCTTACCAAAATATCCAGTATCATGACTTCTATAATAGGTTGGTTTTGCCTGGTTTTGAACTTCAGGTAAGTAGAATTGTGCAGCATAGGCTCCTTAATATAGAATTCTTCATTTAATCTAGTATTGCTGAGATTCTCCCATATTGCTGTTTGCAGCTACAGATCATACATCCTTGTCACTGCCTGGAATCCAGAGTGTGATATACATCTTATTGATCATTTCCACTACAGAGGGGTGTCTGCATGGCATCTGCTTTGGGACTTTTAAAAATAGTGAACACCCCAGGCTCTGTCTTGGGTGCTTATATACATGTTTCTATTGACAGTGGAATTAGTATGTCATGGGGCACACACAGCTTAAGTATATTTTGCTCTTTCAAAAGTGCCTGTACTGGATGACACTATCAGGTTCCAGATCCAATTTTCAATCTATCTTGATTCTAACGACTTCACAAAGTCTTCCTTAACAATTTTGCTCTTTGGTCCCTTCATGTTTTATGTTTTGGTCAGCATACGTGTACTGAGCACTGACTGCATGCCTGTAAATATTCATTGTGCTGGGCATTGGGTACACAAAAAGGATCAGATAGGAACACTGTCAACAATAAATGGCCCAGGAGGGTAACAGTAATACAGATGTCACTCTGATGATTATAATACAGTGTGACCATGCTTTGGAACTAGATGAGTGTGCAATTAATTATGACATTTATAATTAATAAAGAAGAGTTGAAATCTTTTTAGGAAACAAGTCTAATAGCATTATGTCCAAGCAAAGTGGTTAGAATGTAAAAATTCTTACTACTCCTGCTTCTGGTGACATAAGTTGGAGAATTACGTGACTATGGCTAGTAAAGTTGAATCTTTCATATAGCAGTGAGGCAGAAGATTAGGGTGTAGCCTACTGGCTGGGCAAGTGTACATGATCTGTCAATCACAGAAATCCTGGACATATGCAGAAAAAGTTACAAACCCTGCACCTGGGACCAATCAAAAGCAGGTTTTTGATTGGATGACCTAGATGTGACATCCACCTGAGGAGTAGGAGATACAAAAGTTGGCGACCATTAAGCTGGTGGCTACTGTAAGCTTTGTTGGTGTTCACCTCTCACTCTGTAGAGCAAACTTCATTTCCTACCATTAATACCTTTGATAAATGTAAAACCTCACTACCTTTTTCACTTGCCTTGACCAATTATTTGTTAAGAATAGCAAGAACCTAGACAGCATCTCTAGAAACAGCAGCCCACAAACCCTAAATGTGGTAACAGCAGGATTTCTGAATTTTACTCCTGAGGGCCTTCCTGCACTCCATATTATCAAAAAGTGAAAACAACTTGACCACCAAAAGAATAAGTACAAACTTATATTAATAAGATGAAATGCTTCCAACCATCAAAATAACTGATCTAGAGTTATGGCTCTTCTCATAGGTATGTCTTAAAAATATAATATCTAAAAAGTAAATCACAAATTAGTATGTTACATCCTCCCCAGTTCCATCCACTGAACTCCTAATCCCTCATTAAAGGGATTCCAGAAATCTCTCTTGCCTTCTTTCTATCATGTAAAGGCATAATAAGGAAACAAGAGTCGGCAGTCCAGAATAAAGCACTTATCAGGACACACTATGCTCTGTCCTTGTCCCAGATTCCCAGTCTCTTCAACTTTGAGAAATAAATTTTTTATAAATCACCATTGTATGGTAATTCATTTTAGCAGTCTGAACTAAGATGATGTGTAAAGTATTATACAATTTCGATAACTGTAAAACACAATATATATGAATACATTATCTCTTAAATCTATATAACAACACTAAATTTTTGCATTAAACAAAGTAGTTTAAAAACTCATAAAATAAGACTATATTACCTGATAACTAACATATACAGCAAAACAGTAAATGATGTCTGAGAAAGCTGATTGCCCTATTACAGTGGTCCATGCATGCCCATTTTTATAGCAACACAACTTATAATAGCTAAATTTTGGAAGTGATCTATATGTCCATCAACAGATGAATGAATAAAGAAAGTGTTGCCTTTATACGCAATGGAGTATTACTGTACCATAAAGAAAGATAAATATGAGGCATTTATAGGAAAATGGATATACCTTGAGACCATAATATTAAGTGAAACAAATCAGACACACACACTTAAACATGACATGGCTTTTCTATATGAGAAAGCCAAAATATAAATAATTTAAAGAGCAAAATAGGAGATATATAATAGGAAACAGGGACATAGAGCTTTTGCAAATGGGACAGGGACCTAAAGATGAAGGGAGAAGGAAGGGAGAGGAGAGGAAGGGAAGGGGAAATAAAATAAGTTAAGATGTGTTACATAAATGTACCAATTTCTCATGATGAACATGATTATTATGTACTGAAAACATGTGCTAATGAAAAAAGATACTACTGGGAATGGTTGACAGTGAGTAAGTGGAGGAAGGACATTAAAGGTAAATAGTTCATTTCTTTAAAAAAAAAAAAGGAGAAAAACCTAATTGAATAAAAGACAAAAAAACATATGATCCAGGATACAAAATCAAGACGCAAACATCAGTAGCTTTCCTATATACCGATAATGAAGTCACTATGAAAAGAAAATCAGGAAAGCAATTCATTCACAATAGCTTCTTTTAAAATATCAGCAATTAACCTAACCAAGAAACTGAAAGACCTCTATTATAAAAACTATAGAACAATGAATAAAGAGGTGGAAAAGGTCACTAAAAAATGAAAATATTTTCATTATTCATTGGTTAGCAGAATTAATATTGTTAAAATGGCCACATTACCAAAGCACTCTACAGATTTAATGCCAACCCAATTAAATACCAATGGCATTCTTCACAAAACTAGAAAAAAAAAACCTAAAATTCAGATAAAGTCACAAAAGACCAAAATAGTAACAGAATTCCTGAGCTAAAAGAGTGATGTTGGAGGCAGCACAATAGCTAGTCTCAAATTATACTACCAAACTGTGATAACAAAAACAATATAATACCGGCACAAAAACAGACATGCAGACAAAAGGAATAGAACAAAAAAACACCAGAACCCCAGGCATCTGATTTTGGACAAAGGGACCAAAACCTACCCTGGAGGAAAGACAGCCTCTTTAAGAGTGCTGGAGAAACTGGATATCCATATGCAGTGATTAAAGGTACATCCCTATACTAAAATAAAATCTAAATGGATCAAAGATCTAAATATAAGAAACTTTGATACTGTTGGAAGCCATAGGCATAGACAAAGAAAGACTTCTTGAATAGGACACCAGTAGAACAGGAAATAATTCAACAAATTCACCAAATGGAACCATGCCAAATTAAAAAAACAAACTTTTGCATAGCAAAAGAACCAATTAACATGGTGAACAGACAATGCAGAATAGGAGAAAATCTTTGCTAGCTACTCTTCTCATAGAGCATTGAGATCTAGTATATATAAATAATTGAAGAAAATTAACACCAAAAAAAAAAAAAAAACACCCAAATAGCCCAATCAATAAATGGTCAAAGCAACTAAAGAGACTTCT